TGGGGTCCGTAACTGGGGCAGAAAAAAGTCTCTCTGAACAGGTAATCCTCAATGTATGGCCGCAGGGAAACCCAAAATTTCCATTGCCAAGCAGGGCAGTTATTAAGTGCATCATTCCCCATTTTACAACCTTTTTAAGCAAATCACTGCAGTTGTTAAGTGAATCATGTGGTTGTTAAGCGAATCTGGCTTCCTCCATTGATTTTGCTTGTTGAAAGTTGGCTAGGAAGGTTACAAGTGGTGTGATCACATGATCCTGGGACGGTGTATCTGTCATAAATGTATCCCAGTGGCCAAGCACTTGAATTTTGATCACATGACCATGGGGATGTAACGGTCATAAGTGTGAAAACCGGTCATAAGTCACTTTTTCAGTGCTGTTGTAACTTTGAACGGTCACTAAAAGGATATCTGTATACTAAGGATGCAGTGGCTCAGTGGCTAAGACGCTGAGCTTGTCGATTGAAAGGTCGGCAGTTCAGTGGTTCGAATCCCTAGCGCCGCGTAACGGGGTGAGCTCCTGTTACTTGTCCCAGCTTCTGCCAACCTAGCAGTTCAAAAGCACGTAAAAAATGCAAGTAGAAAAATAGGGACCACCTTTGGTGGGAAGGTAACAGCGTTCCATGCACCTTTGGTGTTGAGTCATGCCGGCCACATAACCATGGAGACGTCTTCAGATAGCGCTGGCTCTTCGGCTTTGAAACGGAGATGAGCACCACCCCCTAGAGTCAGAAACGACTAGCACATATGTGCGAGGGGAACCTTTGCCTTTACCTTTACACTAAGGACTATTGTTAATAAGGTCAGAATCTATCCCAGACATGGAGGAGAAGTTATGGCAAGTCATCAAGGCAATGCTTTTATTTTTATTTTTTTCTGAAATAATTCCCAAATGAAGGCAAATATACGTGTCCCAGGATAATGTTGCAGGATTCAATCTGGGTCGGTCACCAGGACCAGAGGTTTAGTCTTTCGAGCTTTCAGACTCATGCTGGAGCCCATCTTCAGGGAACTTCTCTCTACCAGAACGTGTGCTTTGGGAAGCTCCCTGAGGATGGGCTCCAGCACAAGTCCAAAAGCTCAGAAGACTAAGCTGCTAGTCCTGGTGACTGACCCAGATTGGATCCTGTAACAAATAACTCCATGGACATCTATGGAGATTTTCCATCATAGTTTGCTCAAAAAAAAATCAAAGGTGCTTTTTTCAAAAGGCAATTGGACTTTGTTTTTCCCTTGAAAACGTTTCACTTCTCATCCAAGAAGCTTCTTCAAGTTCTGACAGTGTTGACAGAACTGAAGACTCTTCTTGGATGAGAAGCGAAATGTCTTCAAGGAAAAAACAAAAAAAGCATCTTTGGAACAACTCCATTGACTGCTACAGAAAAGAAAGCGTAGCTCTTAAGGATGACATCAAAGTGGCAAATTGCCCAATTACTACCATGCCTTGTTTGGGTTTATACATAAAAAGCCATGTTTGCACACACTCTAGTCTGTTTGATTAACTCAGCTGTGATTTATGGAACTAACACATTTTTTTCTTGCTCTCCAGTGACCACCACCACCACAGCTGGAGCTTAACATGCTAACCTAAAATGCTGAAATCTTTAGCTTGTTATTCAGTGTGTCCTGTGAATACAGCCATTTATCAAGCTAGGCTACGAAAATGGCTTTGAATTTTTACAAGAATCACGGATGCTTTTTTCAACATTTTTTCCCTGCATTTTATTCATATTTAAATGTGAATACAATTTATGTATTGTATTCTCTTACAATTTATGGATGTGTTTTACATGTATTTTGCTTTGAGACTGGATTCACACATTACGTAGAATCTTAGCTTGTTTTCATATGCTTAACACAAGTCTGATATCCTGTAATAAGGTAAAAGGTAAAGATTCCCCTCGCACATGCGTGCTAGTCGTTCCCGACCCTAGGGGGCAGTGCTCATCTCCGTTTCAAAGCCAGAGAGCCAGCACTGTCTGAAGCCGTCTCCGTGGTCATGTGGCCGGCATGACTCAACGCCAAAGGCGCACAGAATGCTGTTACCTTCCCACCAAAGGTGGCCCCTATTTTTCTACTTGCATTTTTTACATGCTTTCTAACTGCTGGGTTGGCAGAAGTTGGGACAAGTAACGGGAGCTCACCCTGTTATGTGGCACTAGGGATTCGAACCGCTGAACTGCCGACCTTTCAATCGGCAAGCTCAGCGTCTTAGCCACTGAGCCACCGCGTCCCTTGATTTCCTGTAATACATCCATCCCAAATCAAACAAAGAATATTAAGGCCACAAGTGAATCTAATGATTGGTTTTGACTCTGGTTTAATCAGATGTGTGAACTCACCCATTGTGAGTTGTGAACCATGGTTTGATGAAATGCATAAATCACCCAATCTGAGATGTTACCATGCTTTTAGCCATAGTTTCATAAATAAGTAACAGGTAGTCCTCAACTTATGTCTTAGCTTAATGCTGAGCAACCATTCAAAGTAATGACGGACGTATCTGGGGGTACTTACAACCCATAGACAAAATTCCAATGGCTGGAGCCCCTCCCCCTGAGGTCATGTGACCACATTCCATGTGCTTGCCAACAAAGCCACATCTGCAGATGTTTGCAGAGTCTCGTGGTAATATGATCATGTTTTATGACCGTTTTGCCAAAAAATTGCATTTACTTCCAGTTTTTAGAAAAACCGCAGCCACAGCAAACAGAATAACAGAGTTGGAAGGGACCTTGGAGGTCTTCTAGTCCAACCCACTGCTCAGGCAGGAAACCCTATATACCATTTCAGACAAATGGTTATCCAACGTCTTCTTAAAAGCCTCCAGTATTGGAGAATTCACAACTTCTGGAGGCGAGTCGTTCCACTGATTAATTGTTCTTGCTGTCAGGAAATTTCTCCTTAGTTCTAGGTTGCTCCTCTCCTTGATTACTTTTTGGATTTTTTTTAACCACCACAGATTCACTTAACAACCACTGCAAAAAAAAAAAAAAAAGTCGTGAAATTGAGTCGTTAATGTTGGTGATCTCATTTACAACTGTCATGATTTACAACTGTGATGATCAGGCTCCGTTATGGTCATAACTCAAAGACTTACCTGTACAGGACGCATCAAACCATAAACCAGAAGACAATTATTTTTTTTTAATTTGATTTATATGCCGCCCTTCACCGAAGACTCAGGGCGGCTTACAATGCGTTAAGCAATAGCCTTCATACTTTTGTATATTTATACAAAGTCAGCTTATTGCCCCCACAATCTGGGTCCTCATTTTACCTACCTTAGAAAGGATGGAAGGCTGAGTCAACCTTGAGCCTGGTGAGATTTGAACTTGCAGTAATTGCAGGCAGCAGATGTAAGTGGATGTTAATAACAGTCCTTTAGTCTGCTGAGCCACCAGAGCTCCTACAATCTTCAATGGTTACATTCAAGCAAAAGCAGCAAACGATGATATGGCTGCTTTCATGGGCGAATCTGTTCAATACCGTCAGCCGTGTCCAAAGCAAGGGGATCCCAAAAGTCAACATGGCAGCTGCAACCATCTGAAGCTCTACCTCTTCTTGACATACATCACGATGCAAATAAAAAGAAGTGGGATTTTGATCCTATGATCTCTTTGGCACCTGCCCTGCAGACACCAAGCTTTGCATTTTGCAAACAAATTACAGGAGCCATATGGAAAGTGGAGAAGATGTATAAACATGATTTGCCTGTACATTTGAAGCCTACAATTTAAAATGAACTCCTAGGCTTAACGTGAACAACTTCTGCTGAAAAGACTTCATCCTGCAGGACCCGGAAAAGATTATCACCTTACAAGCCCTTTATTGACCAATAACAATGAGAATGCATAAAACCAGCTGGTGACTTTGGTCCAGTTCCTCTTTCTAGCTCTTTTCAAAAACGTTTTTTCAAAATTTACAAGTTTTATTAGTTTATTATCACAAGTGGGTTTTGGATTATCTTACTACCGGTTCGCCCACCCTTGCTTCATGCGTGCGTGCGCCTGGTTTGTGCATGCGCCTCCCTTCTGTGCATGCGCTTGGCCTTCTGTGCATGTGCCTGGCCTCAAAAACGTGCCTAAATAGGATGGCATAAAGCCGGGGCAGGTGGGCAGGGCCACCTGCGATTTCCGCTACCGGTTCAGGCAAACCGGTCCGGACCAACTGAATACTACCTCTGTTTATAATATAAAATACAAAAGCAAATAGTAGGAAAAATAAGGGAGGGGAAGGAGAAAGGAGAAGAGGAGAAAAGAAGGGAAAAAAAGAAAAAAAGGCATTGACTTCCAAAGTTCTTTTGTGCAGAAGAATAAGACAATAACATTAAACCTCAACTTTTTACTTTTACATAATAGTATAAACTAGCCATTTCTATAACAACAAATCTATCTAATCAGTAAAACCCAAAATCAAAGGTGTTTTTTTTTTCTACCTCAAGCACAAAGTCCAGAAGTGGTTTCCCAGTAGAAACAAAAGTATTTACTGGTATGGTTTTTTCCCTTTATCAAAGCACTCAATTTATCTATTTCTGCTATGGTAACTTCATCAATTTTTGCAGCCATTTGTCCATTGTGAGGATTGAAGTGCCCTTCCATTTTTTGTGCACAGAGTGTTTTTGCTGTTGTCAACCTATGTAACATCAAAGTTCCATTTTTTTCCCACAAGTCTTTTTCCCGTTCCTCCTCCTAGCTCAACCCATCCCACTGGGTTGAAAACTGGTGCTGGTGAAAACAGGTGGGAATGTTTGATATAAAAATATAGGCAAGATAAATCAAATTTTAAAATTAAAATTAATTTAGATGATGGTGAAACATTTCATTCCCGTTCATACAAATATTATTCCACTGCTTTTGCTAATTGCTTATAGTTGCTAATAGTACTTAATGCATAAAGACGGTGCAAGGTGTATCAAAAGTTTAGCAGGATCAAAGGAGGTTTCTCAGCTATGTTTCAATCAGTAATGGCCGGATCTCTTTTGTTGTTTTTAAATCCAGATGTTGGATGAAAATCACCATCTGATACAGTGCATCATGGACTATCAGAGCAAGGGCAAAACAGCAGAATGTACTCAGTGAGTATGGATTTATAAGGTTGATGCTAAAATAATAGGATGAGTTTGTCATTTCCTGGCCAACTGTCAGCTGATGAAAAGAATAATTTTATTATTGTTAACATGGAGAACATCTACAATTTCTTTGTCTTTAGCAGGATCTTCACATTGTTCTAAATAGTGGGAGTCGAGGGGTCAAAAAAGTCAAGATGGCTGCAATCACATTTCCCATGCCCTGTTTCTTGTATATACTATGGCAGTTATCTTGATTTATTTTACTCTCCTCCATAGACTCCCCTGCCTCTAATGAAGAGGTCTCCAAACTTGACAAATTGAACTTCAACTCCCAGAATTCCTCAGACAGCTGTGGGAATTCTGGGGAATTCCTGAGCTAGCCTGCTGGCTGAGGAATTCTGGGAGTTGACGTCCACAAGTCTTAAATTGGCCAAGTCTGGAGACCCCCTACTCTTTAAAGCATTCATCTGTAGAGGTGATTGTTTTCAGCCACACCTCATTATTTGGTCTGACATTTGTTTTACATTTGTGCTACACCTATGAATGAAATTTGGGGTCACCGAACACGTTAACAGGTTAAAACCACCCAACGGGTTAAAAAGCAACGGCTGGTCTCTCAACCGAAGCTGAACCCCAAATTGCCAAACCCATTTGAGCTTAGTCGTTGTGTAACTTCCATTTGGGTTCAGCAGACAACAAAGCACAGTGTAATGCAGAGGTCTTCAAACTTGGCAGCTTTAAGACTTGTGGACTTTAATTCCCAGATGGAGAATTCTGGGAGTTGAAGTCCACAAATCTTAAACTTGCCAAGTTTGAGGACCCCTGGTGTAATGAAATGCACAGCCAAATTAGTTCATCCCATTCTGACAGGCTGCGTCTCTCAAACTGCAGAAATTTCTGGTGCTTTTCCCTTCTCTCTTGCACTGTCACATTTCAGGTGGATTTCATTTCACGGACTGCTATCATCCAGGAATATTTAGCATACATTTTAAGCCCCCAACCCCTCTCAAAATTCAGTGTGTTTTGGAAAAATACCTCTGCACTAGATGTATTAATGCTGCGTCTGATTCTGTCTCTGCAAAGCAACCCCTGTTTTTATGAACTGAAAGATGGAGGAGAATATTAGTAGCTCAGGGCTGACATGAGGGGTCCTTAGTGCTCTCTGAGCTTGGTGGTTTTCTTGCAGTCGTTTCATTATCCAAACTAGGTAATCTCATCAGTGCACCAATGATAACACTGATGATGTTACCTAGTTGGGAACTGAAATGTCTGCAAGAAAACAACCAAGCTCAGAGAGTAAGGAACCCTTAATAACTGACTCTTTAGCTTTCATGTTATGTAATATAGAACAAAGATGAGTGTGTCAGGCAACAGTTTCGATGCAAAAATAAAGGAATTACTCTGTTTCCCAAAAAATAACACATCCCCTGATAATAAGCCCAATCGGGCTTTTGAGCGCATGCGCTAAAATAAGCCCCTCCCCCCAAAAAATAAGCCCTCCCCAAAAATATTTAAATGCACGCGCAGCCGGTCCCCGCCATTTCCTCTGGTTTCCTCCACGTGCCCCAAAATAATAAGACCTCCCCGAAAATAAGGCCAAGCGCTTATTTCGGGGTTCAAAAAAATATAAGACAGGATCTTATTTTTGGGGAAACATGATAGTTACGAGGATGAAAAAAGGAATGCATCAAACACTTTTGATTCTTGAGGTGACATTTTAGCAGTTTCAGAATAAATGCTAACTATTGCTGCTTATTAGAGTTAAGCAGGTGAGGGTGGGGTTTTTTTTTGGATTTGATGGTGACAAAAATGTTTGGGATGTTAAAGAAAAAATGACCAAGTTCAGATGCAGGTTTAAAAGGAGAAATGTTTCCAACACAGTTTCTTTTTCTCAGATTTATGCTGGGGTTTTTTTTGTCTATAGATACCAACAAATCTTACACAGAAATCTGGTTTACTTGGCCACCATAGCAGACTCTAATCAGAATATGCAGTCCTTGCTGCCTGCTGTAAGTATCCGCATGTACGTAAATCAAACCAGGTTTATTGCTGAATGAACCCATTCGAAAGAAGTCTCATCCTTTGGTTGTGCTTTATGGGAGGTGGGGAAACAACCAGAAACACACCTGATGTGTGGGTTGAAGTGGAATTAATTTTTTTTTTGTGTTGTGGGCTAAGAGATGTGGGGTGTGATTTATACCTGTACATTGGAGCAACTGAGAACACACAATTGATCCGATAAAGGAGAATATTTGAAATGAAGGGTCCTTGGTGCTCTCTGAGCTGGGTCGTTTTCTTGCAGACTGTTTCATTACTTAAACTAGATAACATCATCAGTGCACCAATGACACACTGATGATGTTACCTTGTTAGGTAATGAAACGTTTGCAAGACAACAACCAAGCTCAGGGAGCTCCAAGAACTCACACTTCACAACATGACCATGTAACACCTCTGTGAGCCGCCCTGCCTATCAGGAAAGTGCAAGTTCAAAGTGCTGGTAATCGCCTATAAAGTCCTGCATAGCCCAGAACCAGGTTATTTGCAGGCCATCTCTCTCTGTCCTTATTTGCCATACTAGAACTGTCAAAATCGATGTCCTCTGGCTTCCATCTAATAGACAGTGCCATCTAGTGGCACCTAGGAGTTATGTCTCCTTTGTTGTTTCCCCTAAAACAGCATCCCTGACCTTATTGGCCTTCTGTAAAGCGTTAAACTAAAACAGTGGTGGCTAATCTTTTCAGCGCCGAGTGCCGAAAGCACTGGCTCACCCATAATGCAATGCGTGCATGCCGCCCCGCACCCCGCTCCACACCCCCACACATGCGTGCATACCTGTGTGTGCCACGCCCCCTGCGCATGTACACGCAACCCCCCCTGTGCACCGCCTGTGCATGCAAGTGCAACCCCCTGCATGCGATTCACCCCCGCATATGCACATGCACATGCACACCCTGCATTGCACCCCACCCCTGCGCACGCATCTCCTGCATGCACGCCGCCCCCCACGCATGTGCAGCAGAGATCCAAAAATCAACTGGCCAGTGCATGTGTGGCGGAGCTGAGCTGGGATGACAGCTCACGTGCCCGCAGAGAGGGCTCTGCGTGCCACCTGTGGCACGTGTGCCATAGGTTCACCATTACAGACCTAGATGATGATGATGATGATAGCAATAGCACTTAGACTTATATACCGCTTCACAGATGCCTTACAGCCCTCTCTCACCGGTTTACAGAGTCAGCCTTGAGCCTGGTGAGATTGTTGCCCCCAACAATCTGGGTCCTCATTTTACAGACGTCGGAAGGATGGAAGGCTGAGCCAAGGTGGCGCAGTGGTTAGAGTGCTGTACTGCAGCTACTTCAGCTGACTGCTAGTTCAGCAGATCAGCAGATCAAATCTCACCAGCTCAAGGTTGATTTAGCCTTCCATCCTTCCGAGGTGGGTAAAATGAGGACCCAGATTGTTGGGGGCAATATGCTATTTAGTATACTGTTGATTGTTGTAAGCCGCCCAGAGTCCTCGGAGAGTGGGCGGCATAGAAATATGATTAATAAAATAAATTAATAAATAATAACCTTGAGCCTGGTGAGATTCGAACTGTCAAATTGCAGGCAGCCGGTGATCAGCAGAAGTAGCCTGCAGTACTGCATTCTAACAACTGCACCACCACGGCTCTTATGATGATGATGATGATGATGATGATGATTTGTCTATTGTTTTCATTGTCTTTCATTCTTTTGGTTTTAAGTTTTTTAGTGAGCTATCTAGAGCACGGGTGTCAAACTCTCAGTGTCACATTGTCATCATGTGATGTTTTCACGACATTTTTCCCATTCATGGAACTGGGGTGGGCATGGCCTGCGTGTGACACATCTGGCCCATAGGCCGCCAGTTTGACACCCCTGATCTAGAGTCATGATGGTGAGATGAACATCTAACTACAGGTAGTCCTCAATGTACACCAGTTCATTTAGTGATCCTTCAAAGTTACAACGGCACTGAAAGAAGTAACTGATGACCGTTTTTCAGAGTTACGACCTTTGCAACATCCCTACGATCACATGATCAAAAATTAGATGCTTGGCAAGTGGCATGTATTTTATGACGATTGCAGTGTCCCGAGATCACGTGATCCAATTTTGCGACCTTTGACAAGGAAAGTCAATGGGGAAGTGAGAGTCACTTAACAACCGGGTTACTAGCTTATCAACTGCAATGATTCACTTAACAACTGAGGCAAGAAAGGTCATAAAATGCGGCAAAACTAACAAATGTCTCACTTAACAACATAAATTGTGGGCTCAATTGTGGTTGTAAGTCAACCTCCCTGAGTATCAGTTGTATTGGTCCATCCATCCATCTAGAAAGAAAGAAAGAAACCCCCCCAGCCCATTTAAGAAATGTCTTTTTGTTCCTATCTCACAGCCACCAACACAAAACATGAACCTCGGCCCAGCTGGAATGAGTCAGAGTGCCTCCAATCAGTCTCTCCATTCACAGAGCAATCTCAGTGATGCAATCAGCACGGGGCTTCCAACATCGTCTCTCATGCAGAGTCAGATTAGCAATGGTAAGTGGTCCACGGTTGCCTGGCAACTGCATCACGGGTGCTTGGAGCGGGGTTTTACAACTAATCAAGGTCGAATATTTAGAGCCGGCTGGGGTATTCTGGGAGTTGAAGTCCAGGTGGCCACGGTTGAGTAACGCGGCTGGTTTAATGTATTTCTAAAACCATGGAAAAAACCGTTTGCGTGATTTCAGCTCATATAGCGACGGCTAGGATTCTGCAACCACCACTTTCCCCACGGTTGCAGGATGCCCAGAATGTGGGAAGCTAAGGGTGAAAATGTTGATCCAGTTTCAGAATCAGTGCTGAGCCATTTCTCCTTTCATTGCATTGCAAAAATATTCCAGAAAATGTTTGTGTGTGGGAGAAAAGGGGTGGAAAATAATTCCTAAAGAAATTACGAAGATTTAACAATTTGTTATTGTATAACCTTTCAGGGATCACAGTCCTAGGATATTATTGTCGCTGTTTTGTTATTTCTGTATCTGCCTGCCTGCCTGCCTGCCTGCCTGCCTGCCTGCCTATCTATGGTGTCTGTCTGTCTGTCTCTATCTCTCTATCTGTCTCTCTCTCATCTAACTTTATTATATGTCTACATGTCTGTCTGTGTCTATCATCTATCTCTATTTCTATCTCTATATCTACTGTATATCTGTCTGTCTGTCTCTCATATCTCTCTATTATATCTTTCTACTTATGTCTGTCTGTCTGTCTGTCTATCTCTATCTATCTATCTATCTATCTATCTATCTATCTATCTATCTATCTATCTAATCTATCTAGTTTAGAGGCCTCTTGAATTCCCAAATAATTCTGGGCATCTAACATCCCAAAGCAAGAAACAATAAAATGAAGGAAGAAAACAACATGCATTTTGCATACAGATCTACTTTAGTTACTTGCCATTTACCATAAAAAGATGAAAGCCATACAACTAAAACATTAAGAATGAATTTAGATGATCAATAATTAAAAGTCTGTCCAAGAGAAGCGCCTTTAAAGACATTTAAAAAGTGAGTCAAGAGATCAGGCTCCGCAACTCAAGAAGGATTATATTACAAGGAATTGGGGCAGACCCAGAGAAAGTAACACGAGAGTTGTGTTTTGTTTTTGTTTTTTTGCTTTGTTTTGTTTTGTTGCCCCTTCTTTGCAGACACTGTTCCCCCCAAGATGTCTCCGAGCATATCAGTCCTAGTAGTATACCTCCAGGATTTAGCCTACCCCGACACATATGGGTGACATATAATAGAATTAGAACAACTCATGGGGTGTGTGCTGACTCCCTGTATAAATGGGGAAAGACACCTTCAGCACAATGTGATTGCGGGGCCCCTCGACAGACTATCCAGCATATAGTGAGGGAATGCCCTAACAGAAGGTATCCAGGAGATTCTAGGGACTTCCTCTGCATAACAACGGCAGCTACTGACTGGATCTCCAAACTTGACATTTTTTTAAAAAATTTTATTTTGAATTTGTATACCGCCCTTCTCCCTGAGGACTCAGGGCGGTGAACAGCCAAGTAAAAATATCAAATACAAATATTAAAATACAATTAAAAGTATATATAAATTTGGCCCCATTAATTAAAAACGATAAACAAAACACTTAAAAACACTTAAAAAATTAGGCCAGCCCGGCTTGCTGGAAAAGGAAAGTTTTAAGGGCACGGTGGAAGGCACTGAGGTCTTGGATTCTCCTTATCTCTGGAGGCAATTGATTCCAGAGGGTAGGTGCCCCCACAGAGAAGGCCCTCCCCCTGGGGGTCACCAGCCTGCACTGTTTGACTGATGGCACCCCGAGGAGGCCCTCTCTGTGGGAGCGCATGGGTCGATGGGAGGTCGTCGGTGGCAGCAGGCGGTCTTGAAGATAGCTAGGCCCTATGCCATGGAGCGCTTTAAAGGTGATAACCAACAGATTAAACTTTGAAATGTTATTTCTGTTTTCCTCTTAGGTTTTCTTACTGCTTTTTTATTGTTTTTATTGTTTTTAACCTATAAAAATGAAGTGTTTTAATACTGTGTGTGACCAACCATACGCTAAATAAATAATAATGCAGACACTGCTGTTGATCAAAAAGAATGTTTTGCAGACTGGAACGTCTATTTTTTTCCCCCCCTTTCTGCTTGCTTTCTACCTAGGTCCCAACCATGTGTCTATGCAGCAGTCAGGCCAGAGTACTATGCCCACGACTTCCCTGAGCATGACTCTCAGTAGCCATGGAACTGGGCCCAGTTATAGCCACACGGTGCCTGCATCTCAGAGCGTTGCCATGCAAGGCCAGGGATCGATCGGCAACTATGTCTCGCGAGCAAATCTCAGCATGCAATCCAACCCAGGTACAGTTGACTTAACCTTTGCCCTTTGCCCTGCTTTGACCAATGCAGCCTCTTTGGTCTACAAGTGCTCACCCTTGGTTTTCAATAATTGCAATCAATTCATGGCATTAATTCATTAATGAAACCACCCAACGAGATGCAGTGCAGTGGTGAGAAAAGTAAATGTCCTGCAATTATTTATTATTTATTTATTAGTCATATTTCTATGCCGCCCACTCTCCGAGGACTCTGGGCGGCTTACACCAAAGACAGTATACTAAATAGCATATTGCCCCCAACAATCTGGGTCCTCATTTTACCCACCTCGGAAGGATGGAAGGCTGAGTCAACCTTGAGCCGGTGAGATTTGAGCCCCTGATCTGCTGAACTAGCAGTCAGCTGAAGTAGCTGCAGTCCTGCACTCTAACCACTGCGCCACCTCGGCTGTTAGGGAGGAAAAAGCAAATGCAGAGGTCTAGAATAGGAATATTTAGGCTAGGGGGTCGACCTATTTTCCAAATAAGGGGTCAAGGTATTTTCCAAGGCACCCAAAGGCCAGACAAGAAATAATGGATGGAAACTGAACAAGGAGAGATTCAACCTGGAAATAAGGAGGAATTTTCTATCAGTGAGAGCCATCAACCAATGGAACAGATGTTGCCTTCGGAAGTTGTAGGAGCTTCATCCCTGGAAGCTTTCAAGAAGAGACTGGACTGCCATCTGTCAGAAATGGTGTAGGGTCTCCTGCTTGGGTGGCGGGGTTGGACTAGATGACCTACAAGGTCCCTTCCAACTCTGTCGAGTACCTGGCTCAGCAGTAGTAACTGTGAGAGGGATGTAGGGTGTTAATACTATTGGTTCCTTTCTCTGGAACTTAGCATGTTTGGTCAACTCAAGCAGTCTTAGTTCAATTAATGGGTTTAATGGTTTAGGACTTTGTGCAAACTCAGAAACTGGGTTAATTCAGCAGCCAAGTTAAGCGTGCCGTGGGAACCCATCTTGCATTTCTTTGTGTTGCAGTTTCCATGATTCACCAGCAAGCAGCAACATCACATTACAACTCCCCGCAAGCGGGAACCCAACATTACCAAGGGCAGTCTTCCATTGCCATGATGAGCCAGAGTAATCAAGGGAACAGCCTCATGGGGCAGCGGCCAATGGGCTCTTATCGAGCTTCACAGCAAGGTGAGTGTAAAAGAAGGGGTTTCCCGATGGATAAAGATTCCCAGAGACTGTTGGGCAAATAGCAAGCAGCAACCTTCCCAATACTTGTGAGGATCCCAGCTTTATGGCACCCCAAGGAAAGCTGTTGGAAATAAAAATAACAGACGGTCTAGCGTGATGATGTTACCTAGTTAGGGTAATGAAACATCTGCAAGAAAAAAATATAATTTGATTCAAGGGTGAAATCTAAAATTTGTTACTACCGGTTCTATGGGTGTGGCTTGGTGGGGGGGGGTAATGTGACGGTGGGCGTGGCCAATTTTTTTTTTTTTTTACTTTTAAAACCATTTTTTCTACAACCTCTTCGGCGAAGAGGTTGTAAAAAAATGCTTTCAAAAGGCTCTGACGATCCAAGCTGAGTTCCCTGATCGGCAGAGGTTTTTTTAAAAAGCCTCTGCCGATCAGGGAACTCAGCTGGGTTCATCAGAGCATTTAAAAAGGGTCAGAGCATAAAAAAAGGGTTTTTTTCTTTTAAATGCTCTTGACGATCTGCCAATCCAGCTGGGATCATCAGAGCATTTAAAAGAAAAAAAGGGGTTTTTTTCTTCTAAATGCCTTTGACGAGCCGCAGGATCATCAGAGGCTTTTTTTTTTTACTTTTAAAAGTATTTTTTTGGCGGAAGTTGTAGAAAAAATGCTTTTAAAAGTTAAAAAAAAAGCCTCTGATGATTGTGCAGCTCAGCTGGGCATGGGGGGGGCGGGAATTTTTGCTACCGGTTCTCCGAACCACCCGCCTCCATCGCTACTGGATCAGGCGATCCGGTCCGAACCGGGAGCATTTCACCCCTGATTTGATTGCTTATTTGTTCCCTATCATTAAGTGTTGTACCTTATGATTCTTGATGAACATATCTTTTCTTTTATGTACACTAAGAGCATATGAACCAAGACAAATTCCTTGTGTGTCCAATCACATTTGGCCAATAAAGAATTCTATTTTATTCTATTCTATTCAAACAAGCAAGCTCAGAGAGTACCAAGGACCCCCTCAAAATAACAAATACTCTAATGCAGGAGTGTCAAACCCGATTTCATTGAGGGCCGCATCAGGGTTGTGTTTGATCTCGGGGAAGGGGGGGGCAGAGTGGGTGTGGCCGGGGGTGGGCATGGCCAGGGTGGATATTTAATATTTTTTAAAAAACATGAACCCCTTTTCAACACTTTATTCCTAATTTCTCACTGACTTCCGTGATCTGACTTAGTGATATCCTTCAGTTGCCTATAAAAATAGGCTAAGGTTCGCGTCGTGAGAACACCTTTTCAACTCTAATCCCAATGTAAGAATTTTCAATGCTGCAGACTGTTGTTAATATTTTCTGTGTCTTTCAGGTTCTTCTCAGCAGTACATGGGTCAGGAGGAATACTACAGTGAGCAGTACAGTCATGGGCAAGGATCCTCAGAACCTATGAACCAGCAATATTATCCTGATGGTAATGGTGCCGAACAGAGAGAGACATATGCCCACGTGTCACTGAATGGCAAGAGGCTTAGAACATAAAAGAAAATGATGAACTAGAGGTTCTGACCGGAAAGAATAGAATAGAATAGGAATAGGATAGGAATAGGAATAGGAATAGGAATAGGAATAGGAATAGGAATAGAAATAATAGAAATAGAAATAGAATAATAGAGTTGGAAGGGATCTTGGAGGTCTTCTAGTCCAACCCCCTGCTTAGGCAGGAAACCCTACCCCACTTCAGACAAATGGTTATCCAACATCTTCTTAAAAACTTCCAGTATTAGAGCATTCACAACTTCTGGAGGCAAGTTATTCCGCTGATTAATTGTTCTCACTGTCAGGAAATTTCTCCTGAGTTCTAAGTTGCTTCTCTCCTTGATTAGTTTCCACCCATTGCTTCTTGTCCTACCCTCAGGTGCGTTGGAGAATAGTTTGACTCCCTCTTCTTTGTGGCGGCCCCTGAGATATTGGAAGACTGCTATCATGTCTCCTCTAGTCCTTCTTTTCATTAAACTAGACATACCCAATTCCTGCAACCGATCTTCATGTTTCAGCCTCCAATCCCCTAATCATCTTAGAGAAATGTATTTTCTAATACATTTATTAGAGAAATGTATTCGCTTTTCCTTTTTCTGTGGAAAATTGCAGTTTGTAAAAGAGTGCAAAGAGTCTCTTAAAAGAGTTTGTAGCAGCAAACTCCAAAGCCTAGAATGCTGTCAGACAAACTGTAAATAGTTTGATGCAAAAAAAATCAAGATAAAAATGTAGCATAAAGGCTCCCTTCTCCCTTTTACCCCATGTCGTATGCCTCTTCCTTTTCTAATGCACAGAATTTTTTTTTTAAACTCTGTTTCTGACATAACTGTCTTTTATTTATTTTTTTGTTATCTGAAAATAGGCCACGGTGATTATGCGTATCAGCAGTCGTCTTATTCTGAGCAAAGCTATGATCGATCATTTGAAGATTCCACACAGCACTATTACGAAGGAGGTAGGGGGATCAGCGATCTTGCAAATCAAGTCAATTTTCCAAAATGCAATCACGCCTTTAAATTGCCGTAATGAAGTATGGTTTCTGCATGTTGCAGGGGTAGGCAATTCACAGCCACTTGCCACTCCACCGTTCTCCTTTGCACATGTAAATGTTACAGTATAAACAAGTAAGTAGGTAAAGAGTAAACATTCACACAAACCTCTATAAACATCTGTATTTTAAATGAATAACAGATGTTCCTGTGTGAGAGGTCCTTGGTGCTCTCTGAGCTCACTTGTTTTCTTGCAGACGTTTCCTTACCCAAACTAGGTAACATCATCAGTGCTAGTAAGGACTGCGGTTTGCTGTCAGTTTATATTCTGATATCTTGCCTGTCAGTGTTGGTGGAGGCAGTCTTAGAGCAGGAGTGTCAAACTCGATTTCATTGAGGGTCACATCAAGGTTGTGTTTGACCTTGGAGGGCCGGGGATGGGCGTGGCCATGGAGGGCATGGCCAACTCGACCTAGCCTCTCTAGGAGTCTGGGGAGGCTGGGGACAGCAAAAAAACATCACTTCCTGTCCAACTGGGAGTTGGGAAATGGGTCGTTTCAGGCCTCCGGAGGGCCTCCAAGGAGGTGGGGAAGGCTGTTTTCGCCCTCCCCAGATGCATAGAGAGGATCTGGAGCCAGGTGATCAAGGAAAACGGGCCCATGGGCCATTGCGTGCCAGGAGCATGAGGGATAGCACGCGCAGGGCGGGGCGCATAGAATTATGGGTGTGGGCACGCGTGTGCGTGAACCTCCCCCGCCCCCCCTCCTGGCACATGATGGCACAAAAAGGTTAGCCATCACTGGCTTAGGATGTTTGGAAGGGCTTTTGTTGGCTTGTGTGCTATACTCTGATGCTGTTGCTGTGTTCCTGTGTTACACTAGAGAAATGGAATGTATATGCTGACCTTCCTTGTGTATATTATAATCCTGCCAATCCATTATGCTGTTCTGTTGTCTTTAGGGAATTCCCAATACAGCCAGCAACAAGCCGGATACCAGCAAGGAGCTGCCCAGCAGCAAACGTATTCCCAACAGCAATACTCAAATCAACAAAGTTATCCAGGACAGCAACAAGGATATGGTGAGTAAATCCCCCATTGTGCATTTTTGTTGACCAGAAAATGTCAATTCTGACTTCAGTTTCTTAGGAAGACGGGGAGAAATGCTTAACAAGGTCTGTCCCCAGAACCCTTGTGTCTTCACACCAGATTGTGCTGAGGAAGACTGACCAGATTCAGATGTGGCTTGTTTCTTGGTGATTTGGTGTATAGGTGTCCAATGATGTATTCAATACAGGCAGTACTCAACTTATAAGCATTCGTTGAGTGACCTTTCAGAGTTACAATAGCCCTGAAAAAAGTGACTTATGACTGATTCTCACACTTACGGCTGTTGCATTCTAATGGTCACGTGATCAAAATTCAGGCGCTTGGCAACTGGCATGTATTTATGGTGTTTGCACTGTCCTGGGATCATATCATCACCATTTGTGACCTTCACAGCTGGCTTCTGACAAGCAAAAGTCAGTGGAGAAGCCAGATTCACTCAACAACCACGTGGCTCATTTAACAGCTGCAACGATTATCTTAACAACCATGGAAAAAAGATTGCGAAATGGAGTTGTCTTGCTTAGCAGTGGAAATGTTGGGCTCAATTGTGGATTTAATTCGAGGACTACCTCCCATCGGGTTTATGACAATTCACCACGGCCAATTTGCCAGGGCCAACTCACTATGGCCAACTCACCATGGCCAACTCACCATAGCTAACTCACCACGGCTAACTCACCACAGCTAATTCACCATAGCTAACTCACCATGGCCAACTCACCACGGCCAACTCACCATAGCTAACTCACCATGGCTAACTCACCACAGCCAACTCACCATGGCTAACTCGCCACAGCCAACTTGATGGCCAACTCACCATGGCTAACTCACTACGGCTAACTCGCCACGGCCAACTTGATGGCCAACTCACCATGGCTAACTCACCATGGCCAACTCACCATGACCAACTCGCCATGGCCAACTCATCATGGCCAACTCGCCATGACCAACTCATCATGGCCAACTCACCATGGCTAACTCACCATGGCCAACTCGCCATGGCTACCTCACCATGGCCAACTCGCCACGGCCAACTCACCATGGCTAACTCACCACGGCCAACTTGACGGCCAACCCACTATGGCTAACTCACCACGGCCAACTCACCACTACCAACTTGCCATGGCCAACTCACTGCTGGACAAGAGTTACACTAATATCAAAGAAATGGTGGGATAGAATCATTAAAGAAAGGATGCCAAAAGAAGGACGGAATGAAATGTGAATGACAAAAATTGAAACGTTTTTTGGATTTATTTTAAATAATTCAGTTGAATTGTTAAACTGTCCTGCAGCAAGTTGGCTGTGGCAAGTTGTCCCATTCCCCATTCCATCACAACTGGAAGGCAGGTTACCCAGTAAGATTGGACCCTGAGGGGAGACTTCCACACCAGCCCAGACTAAACTGAACACTCCAGTTTTTAGTTCAAGGCTGAACAATAACCTCAGTGAATTAGCACATTGATTCTAACTGCTGCAATTAGCTGGGCTGTAAAGGAATTTGGTGCATAAAGAGAGTTAACACAAAGCTAATGGTTGCAACTCAGATCAAGCCTTTCACACAAAGCGAAACCTTCAGGGGGTTCTCGCCTCGTAACTGGAACAAAAAGCATGTCAAGTCCATGGAAAGAGCCTCAAAGATAGATAGCTGGAAGAGCTTAGAAGGAAGTTCTTTATTCCAGAGCTGAATTCCAGACCAGCAATCAAAAGCCTGGGGTGACTTCGCAAGAGGAACTAGAAGTTGAAGAAAGGCAGTGTTAAGGATATTGTTGTGTTACCAACCAGCAGAGTGTAGAGCACAGGGAAACGTTGCTGAGAGCAATGAATAAGAGATGTGCAAACTGGTTTATCAAAAGTTTACTTTATAGTGAAAAAACAATCTCATAGTCTTTTAAATCAATCCAAGTCTTTGCCAGTTAAATCAGTCCAGTGATACAAAAATCTTCTTACCACACAAACCAAGTAGTTGGTTAGAATAACAAACTCTCTCTGGTTCACAAACCACGATGGTAGCAGATCCATCCAACGATGATAGCACAATGGTAGCAACTCCTCACACAATGGTAGCTTATCATCAACTGAATACTTTACAGTACCTTTCTTAAATACGTTTACAACTAGTGATTATCTAATTACAGCATGACTCAGCATTACAATGAATCAGCAGTAAAACTTTAAAGTCACACAATACATAATTCATATTAAAGTCACAGAACACATATATTGCCTGGACAACTTGTTAGGCTCAAACCATATCCTAACAGGCAGGTTAAGGAGCAGAAGAGATGTTTCCAACAAAGATTGAGGTCCAGGAGATGTTCCTAACAAGCAAGAGTTCTGGCTGTCAGGCTTCCAAGTAATACACCCATAGCAAACAAACCTCCGAGGCAAGTAGATTCCTCAAAGAATAGTTTTATTGGATATATCATATTGGCCCAGTTCTGGTGAAAACCGACTCTGAAGGTTCCCACGGTTTTCACCTAATTAAAAGTAAAAGTTTTTCCCCTTCCCCAGACAGTCACATGGTCCAATCAAGGTTCCCGTCCAGTTGCCTGGTAACATCGCTCCTCCTCTCTCCGGCCAGGTGTTAGAATGTCCTTGGTTCCCAGGGGAAAGTGTTTTATTTTGGCTACAAAACTCCAGCTATCTCTATTCCCTCCCATCGCTATCCCTCAGCTCCAGTGTGGCAACACTGAAGCCTCAAAATGGCTGCGATCAGGTCAGCTTCAGTGTTGACACTGGCTTTGAGAACAAGTAGTCCTCGACTTACAACAGTTTGTTTAGTGACCGTTTGAAGTTACAACAAAGGTTGGAGAGAAATTGAAAAAGTGACTTACGACCGTTTTTCATCATCTCCATGGTCATGCAATCAAAATTCAGATGCCTGGCAATCGACTCATATTTATGCCGATTGCAGTGCCCTGGGGTGATGTAAGCACTTTGTGCGACCTTTTGACAAACAAAACCAATGGGGAAGCCAGATTCACTTAACAACCGTGGTACTAACTTAACAACTGCATTGATTCACTTAACTCTGGCAAGGAAGGTCATAAAATGGGGCAAAACTCACTTAACAAGTATCTCGCTTAGCCAGAAATTTTGGTCTCAGTTGTGGTCGTAAGTGAAGGACCACCTTTACGTAATGGAGCTGGCCCATTATGGTTGCAAGTCATGAGAGTTGTTAAGCTGGGCACTTATGTGTTTGCTTTGCTTAAAATAACCCTCATTACTGCTCTCCCCACTTGGTCCTTTAGCGACCTTACTTAACTGACCATTTGCCTGCAGAAGTTGTGAATGCTCCAACACTGGAAATTTTTAAGAAGATGTTGGATAACCATTTGTCTGAAGTGGTGTAGGGTTTTCTGCCTGGGCAGGGGGTTGGACTAGAAGACCTCCAAGGTCCCTTCCACCACCTCCTATTCTATTCTATTCTATTCTATTCTATTCTATTCTGTTCTATTCTATTCTATTCTATTCTATTCTATTCTATTCTATTCTATTCTATTCTGTTTGAAGAGCGCTTCACTTTCTACAGCTTCAAGTACAATGTGTTACTTTTCCTCAACTTTCCTCTCTCTGGCCACGCGCTCGACCTGTTTCAAAGATTGGTGAGAAATTGCAGCTTCCCGGTTCTTTCTGCCAAACCTCCTGATCGATAAAACTATGAAAAGAAAACAGGTCACAGAAAACCAGCCAAAACCAAAGAACTCACAATTTGGGATTTTGAACTCTTGTCAAGACTTCTGCTGTTTTTGTATGTTTTTTCCAGGACCTGCCCAAGGAACGTCATCACAGTATTCTAGCTATCAACAAGGACAGGGCCAACAGTATGGAAGCTACAGAGCTTCACAAACTGGACCATCTGCGCAGCAACAGAGGTCTTACGGCTATGAACAGGTAAGCTGGGAAGGGATGGAACTGACATGAGAAACGTTAGGCTGGACAAAATGAGAATCGTAGACGGAAAGGTATTGGGAAGCTCCAGGTAGGGGAACTTTACAGAAATAGTTGGGAAATAAGACCGATTAGAACGTGGTGCCTCAGTGGCTTTGACACTGAGCTTGTAGATCAAAAGGTCAGCAGTTCAGCGATTCAAATCCCTAGTGCCGTGCAACGGGGTGAGTTCCCATTACTTGTCCCAGCTTCTGCCAACCTAGCAGTTCGAAACCACGTAAAAAATGCAAGTAGAAAAATAGGGACCACCTTTGGTGGGAAGGTAACAGCGTTCTGTGTGCCTTTGGCATTGAGTCATGCCGGCCACATGACCATGGAGACGTCTTTCGGACAGCGCTGGCTCTTCGGCTTTGAAACGGAGATGAGCACCGCCCCCTAGAGTCGGGAACGACTAGCACATATGTGCGAGGGGAACCTTTACCTTTACTTTTAAGACTGATTTGCTTCAGCTACTTGTTTTCAGGGCAGAGAATCTGCCCTGTGTTGAGAACACTTCTACTGTGTTTAATGTTATGTTTTCTCTGAAATATTTAGTGAAATTTACTTTATTTCACTCAAGGGGGTCAAACAGCATTGCACCCACAATATTCCAAGTAGGGTGTCTGTGAGCTTCCAAAACTAAAGCCAGAAGGATGACCTCTTTAAAAGATGAAAATGGATTGCAAGCGAGGTTTCTGAAAGAAAAATCACCAAGAACTAATGAAATTTGAAGGAATTTTTTTTTTAAGAGAAAGGGCGTTTTGGTATCTGTGGCCTCAAAGATGGACCTGGTATTTGAGAAACAATCAGTACAGGCAGTCCTCGACTTAAGACCACAGTTGAGCCCAAAATTTCTGTTGCTAAGCGAGACAGTTGTTAAGTGGGTTTTGCCCCATTGTATGGCTTTTCTTGCCACAGTTGTTAAGTTAGGAATAGGGTTGTTAAGTACATCTGGCTTCCCCATTGACTTTGCTTGTCAGAAGTCACAAAAGGGGATCACATGACCCTGGGACACTGCAGCCATCATAAATATGAGTCAGTTGCCAAGCCTTTGGATTTTGTTCGCGTGTCCGTGGGGATGTTGTAATGGTCATAAGTTTGAAAAATGCTCATGTCACTTTTTTCAGTTCTATTGTAATTTCAAACAGTCACTAAACAAATGGTTGAAAGTCAAAGGTTACCTGTTCTTGCTTGAATTTTTCTTCTGTTCTCCCTTCAGTATTTTTCCTAATCTTTATCAACTCTAAGTGTGAAGAAGATTATCTCTTTGCCCTTCTTGTTTACTTTTGAGAAAATCTGACAGATATTCGGAAAGTTTTTCTTTGCCGTCCTTAAATTCTCTAATGGAAAAGAAGGGCGTACTTAACACTGTGTGTAGAAATGTATTTTTTGGACTATAAGTTGCACTTTTTGTCTCCCAACTGCAATTTATAGACTGAATATTGTCGAAGCCCCGCCCACCCACCGGCTGTTTTTTGGCCTCCGCATGCCCCATTTTCAGGCCTTTTTTCGGGCTTTTTCAGGCCTTTTTTCGGCCCATTTCTGAGGCTCCTTTCAGCCCATTTTCTGAAAAAACAGGCCGAAAAAAGCAGGGGTGGGTTCCACTTACCTTTACTACTGGTTCGCAGCGGGATCACACATGTGCACTCGCTTCACTCACTCGCTCACTCTTCTGCACATGCGCAGATCACCAATGATGACATTGTGCCAGGTAGGCGGAGCCTCCCACAGGTTTTATTACCGGTTCTATAGAACCGGACAGGAGCAACTCACCACTGGAAAAAAGCCTTGAAAAAGGGCCAAAAAAAGCCTTGAAAATGGGCCACAAAAGCCTCAAAAACGGGCCAAAAAAAGTCTCAAAAAACGGGCCAAAAAAAGGTGGAAAAGGGCCGAAAAAAGGCCGAAAAAAGGGAGGTCCCAAAAGTTTTTTTGTTGTTTTCCTCTTCTAAATTTATGTGCATCTTATAGTCAGGTGCGTCTTATAGTACAAAAAATACGGTATTTACATTAATTTCTCTCTCTTATTCACTTTCCCATTGTTTAACAGGGCCAGTATGGAAACTATCAGCAATAAAATGACAAGCGCCTGTGTCAAATTTGTTTCAATATTTATGTCCATTTTTTTGGAACTTGGATGTATGGGCAAGTCTTTTTTTTTTCTTCTTCTTCTTCTTTTTAAATGATTGATGATTGATGGATCGTAAGATGTTGGATACCGCTGTAGCACAAAGAAGCGTTTGTATGTGAAATAGTATTCATTTCATGCTGGATATGGAACAGTGCATTACAGTACTGGCAACGAGGCGATGTTTGAACGGTCTGGTACATTTTGGTGCCGTTGTTAATAATCCTTGCAGAGGTTCTTCCGTCACTTCTTCCCACTTCCTCTTTTGACGTACGAAACCTGTTTGAGAAACCAAGAGGTCATACAGCTTTTGTTGACCGGATGATTATTATTTTTTTCACAAGATCATCGACAACCTAGCATCCTTCGGATCTGATGGACCGCCAAGCAGCTGGAAGATGTTTGTGGGTTGTGTGACAAGCACATCACTGAATATATCTCTTGCTTTCTGTTCACCCAACTGGTTTGGCATCGGAATATCCGAACCCAGATGTGTTTCAATTATTCTGCGTGCAATTCCTTTGAAATGCATTGGTCTCCTTTTAGATTCTAATCGGGCCCAAGGTATTCTGAAAAGTATTTAATTGAAGACGTTTCACTTCTCATCCAAGAAGCTTCCTCAGTTCTGATTGAATGGTGGAGAAGGGAAGGATTTATATTCCTTTCATTCCCAAGCACTTTTAACCTGGGTAACTGAGAATCTCCATAGACAAATGTACATTGAGCTTTTAGCAAAAACTGCTTAATTTTCATACTGTGATTTTGAGTTTTTTTCCCCCAGCAGATTAAAATTATTGTGTATTAAAATACACATTTATTCTGTGTATTTTCACCTTAGTTAACCCACCCACTCCCCCAAAAAAACAACCCACTGATCTTTTTCTGACAGTCAGCAATATTACCAGGACATATATTTGCACTCTGGAAGGCCAAAATGCAGATTTTTTTTTAAATGCTCCTCAACTCAAGATTCTTTGTTTAGCAGTGGGTGAACTGAGTCATAAGTTGGTATGTATAGAATTGGCTTCACAAAGTTTGTAATGTTGTATCCTCAGAAGAATACAAAGCAGATTTAACAAACTATGTTTGAAGAATTCCAGAGTCACATTGTAGGGAAGATGGGTGGCATAAAAATGTAATAAATAAAATTCTGGCTTAGCATTATAAATAAATACAGCATGTGTTCAAGTGAACAGGGACTGTTACTCTAGAGCAGGGGTATCAAATTCAAGGCCCCGGGGCCGATGCAGCCCATAGGGCCGCACTGGAAACAATGAAGGACCGGTCGATGGTGCTTCTGCCGGCGAAAACGGAGCCCCAAGCTCTGTTTTTGCTGGCAGGGGGTTGCAGGAGGCCATTGCAGCCGGAAATGGAGATTGGGAGCCCCGTTTTGGCTGGCAGAGGGCTTGGGTTACCACAGGTGCCCCCCTGGCCACCCCCCCCCCCGAGGTCAAACATAACCCTGATGCGGCCCTCAATGAAATTGAGTTTGAAACCCCTGCTCTAGGGGTAGGGAATGATGGCCCCTTTATGACTTGGGACTTCAACTCCCAGAATTCCTGAGGCTCAGGAATTCTGGGAGTTGAAGTCCACAAGTCATAAAAAGGCCGTTGTTCCCTACCCTTGCTCTAGAGCCAGCCAATTTTCTGCAGTCTTAATCTCGTGAATTAACTAGCACAGTTTACAACATACCGAAAACAGGCCACATTTACTCGAATGGTATGGAAGAATCTAGCCTATAATATTCTTTAAAGCCTTATTTTCAATATGCTTTCGCTTACATTTTTGAATGTCTTAGACCAGGGGTCTCCAAACCTTAGCAACTTTTAAGATTTGTGGACTTCAACTCCTAAAATTCCTCAGCCAGCAAAGCTTTTCTGGCTGAGGAATTCTGGGAGTTGAAATCTACAAGTCTTAAAAGTTGCCAAGGTTGGAGACCCCTGTTTTAGACTGTGCCGCAGAAATTAACAGGGAGAAAAATTAATTTTAAAAAATTAATCTCTGAAAAGTACAGATGAGACATCCCCACCCCACAAAATCTCAACACTTATGGATTCTCGACTATGGGTAAGAATATCAATAGCAAAACTATATAGCTACTAAGTTAGTGGTTAAAAAAAAAAAAGTAAAGGGTACGTACAAAATAATGTTCTTGCCAAGTGTTATGTTCTTTTCCTCTACTTTCCATCCAAAGGAGCTTGGATAACAACCCATTAATTAGTTATCAATTAAAGAAAATCGCGGCTATATCTAGTGCTACAAATAGGAAAGTAAATATTTTAAAAAATTATAACACCCTCCCCGGCATTTTAAGAGCTGGAATAATGTATTCCTAATTTTTTTTTCCTTTAAAAAAAAGTTTCCACTAGGACAGTGTTGGCAAACCTTTTCGGCATCAAGTGCCGAAACGGGAGCGCACGTGTGTGCGTGGGGGAGCTCCGGAAACCGGAAGAGGAGCTCCCTGGCACGCCAGGAAGCTGAGCTTCTAGTTTCCAGCATGCACATGCGCACCAGTCACCTTGTCTTCTGGTTTCTGGCACACGTACGCACGCAAAAACCAGCTGGATGGCGTGCATGCGTGCACCAGAAACCGGAAGCTCATCTTCCTGGCACGCACATGCATACCAGGGAGCTGCTCCTCCGGTTTACGGCACTCCGGTGCACACGGAGACCAGCTGGCCAGCACACGTGCTCGTCGGAATCCAGAAGAGTAACAAGTGACGGCTGGTGTGCCCCGAGAGATGGTTCGGTGCGTCACTTCCGGCACGCGTGCCATAGGTTTGCCATCACGGCACTAGGACCAACTAAAACTCTCTAATATATTCTGCTTTATGGTACTGTTTCTCCCCCCACAATCTCTGTGTTGGCCTAGTTGCAGACAATGCCTGCTAAAAGTTGTTGAAAAGAGCAATTGAATGTACTAATCTGCAGCTACTTCTGGCATTTCCTTTGGCTCTTTGTGCTGAGGGAGGGAGTGAAAATTGCACCATTATTTTAGTCGAAACAAAGCTAAATCCCAGGATGAATTCATGGACAGCTCCTGGCTGTTTTCTTGGCAACTATATGGGATAGTCTGCATTGTCTTCTTTCAGGATGGTTTCATCAACTTCCCAGTCTAGACTGTCATCCTGGTTGTCTCCCATCCACGTACTACCCAAGCTCAAGTCTGCTTAGGGTTTTTTTTTTCAAGATCAGCCAAGATTTGAGCAGTGTGAGAAGTTTGGATCAAAACATAGTTTATTCTTTGCACTGTTTCCATCTTCCCTTAAAATATTAACAGAATCCACAATGAACTGAGAATCAGTGTCTCCACTAGATAGGTGACAGTCAAACTGAAACTAAGTTAATCAAGTAAAAATAGCAAATGGGAGGGGGAAAATATAACTTCCTCAACCCCCTCTCCCCAAATAAATTAGCCAGACCTAATCCACATATCAAAGGTTAAGGTCTGTAAACACAAAGAGAGTTAATTAAATTAGGTATCCCAGCAGAACTGCATGTCCACAAGAATAAACATCATAGATGACATACGTACACACAGATGCCCTTCAAGGGTCACCCTAGAATCAGCACGTAGACACTTCCACAGCTAGGACAAGCCCCCCCCCCAATAAAACTACCCAATTTTTCTTCAGCTGCCCCAAAGACAAACTCTTTGCTTTTATGAATAAATATTTCTTCTTTCCTCACAGCTATCTGGACCACATTTTTATTTATTATTTCTTAATTTATTTCTTCAATTCTGGTTTAAATTGGAACCCCAAATTATTCTTCTGACGGTAGTTGCGACCGCTTGAGGGGAGATAGCTCGATAACTGTGGACCAGTGTTTCTCAAATGTGACTTTAAAAGGCATGGACTTCAACTCCCAGAATTCCTTAGTCAGCCATGCTGGCTAGGGAATTCTGGGAGTTGAAGTCCCTACATCTCGATGTCAATTTTGAGAAACACTGCTGTGCACAATGCTTCTTAAATACCACTGGAGGATTAGTAAGAAAATAACTGCTTTTATGTTGGAAGTGTGGATATCCAAAAAGGTACAACCTACATTGCTTTTTTTTTACCAGCTTTAATATTTGTTTCTTCTGTGGATATTGTTTTTTTCTAGCATTGCTGAAAACCACTTTGGAAAAAGCCACAGCAGCATTTAAACACCTGCAAACAGCAACATAGCATCTGTTGGAAATGTCTTACATTAAGAATTTCTTGAATGTTGTATATAAATTGTATTTGAAAAACGCGCTTTGGAAATAGTTTGTACATTATTTCCTGATTTATACTTGATATTTAGTGTTAATATTTCTAACTGTTAATAACAAGATAACTTAACGTGTGGTGATTTTTATGTATTGATGTGAAAACGAGGCAATGCCAGCATTTTAACAGTTTCATTACTTACTTGTACCATATTTTCTGTTTTGTAATACAGAATGTTAAAATACACTTTTAAGTTTAAAAGACTGGATTGTGAAGCCAAGTCACGGCACTTTTTCGTATGACGGAAAGACTTTTAAAAGGACTGGTGTAATCATATTTGTAGTCTTTGTCTTTGTTTTGGTTTTTTTTAATTGCAGATTTAATGAAAATGATACATAAACTACGTTCTATTTATAATCGGGAAATATTTCAAGTAAAGATCATTGCATGAGAAAAAAGGCATCAATGTCGCTTTTGAAGATGTAAAACGGTAATGATCGAGGTCAGGCTTCAACCATTTCTCTTTTAAGCGGAATAACTTTCGGAAGTGTCATCTGGAGCAGAAAAATGTGTATTCCTAGAATTGCCAACATCTCTGCAGGGTGACAGAATTACTAGTCATATTTCTGGGGAAAGAGAAGGTTCTTTGAAATGGAGGTTAGACAGCTATTTGGGATGCTTTTATCAGATACCTGCACTGAACCTGGGGTTGCACTTGGTCTAAAGCAGGTTTTTTTTAAAAAAAAAAACTTGGCAACTTTAAGATGTGTAGACTTCAACTCTCAAAATTCTCCAGACTGCATGCTGGCTGGGAGATTCCAAAAGTTGAAGTTGCAAATTTGAAAAACACTAAAGGGCACTTATCTGGGTTATTTAACTGATCCGTTTGCACATGTTGCCTTTTAGTATAAAAACTTTGCATAGGACTCACTAAAGAATGATCAAAATCAACCAAAAATTATGCCAGCAGAAAAAGTCTTAAGGCAGCATCCAAAAGAAAGATTCGGAGAACATAAATGATTTTGCAAGAATAGCATCTTCGTGATTTTCAGCTTTGCCAACTTCAAGACGTGTAGACTTCAACCCCCAGAATGCCCCAGGAGAATTCTGGGAGTTTAAATCCACACATTTTAAAAGTTGGCAAGGTTAAGAAAACTGATCTAAGCAAGGCTGAGAGAGGGAATCCTAGGCCATCGCTATAATAGGTTAATAGGGTCTTAATTAATTACAGGGCTAAGTGCATAATTGTCCTCAATTTGAATTTAGATATAGGTCTCTTTTCCTATAGACCACCTGGTCATTGTATCTATTCATACTAGGAGAACTGGAAGCAGATTGATAATGAGTATTGTGGTAGCTTTGAGAAACTGACCATCTTTTTCAAACTAGCATCCTGGCAACACATACCATTGTTCTTTTAAAGATTATTAACTTAGACCAGTGCAGTGTGGGAGTGACAGATCTTTTTAAGATACCACCACTGTCATTGAATGGGAAGCTAAGTGCATTCCTGGCCACCCACACATAAACAATACATCACACAGTTTTCCCTCCATTAGTTCCTTGTGACAGGCCAGTGGGAAGTGGGGAAAAAAATACTTCTGATTTGTAACAACCATAAAAAAGATGTTGGAAGAAAAATCTGCTCCGGTTCCAAGCTGGGAGAAAGACGCTGAAAATAAAATGGGAGGCAGACCGCATGGAAAGGAGGTCTCTGTTTATTTGGATGCCAGAAACTTTAGTGACAGCAACATGTTTCTGGGGTGTCTGACCAATTGGCTGGGTGAGTGGGTGGATTTTTATAGGGTTCTATGGAGTTTGGTGATTGAGATGCCCCAGGGGGGTTGTGCAATGTAGTGAGCCTTGTGTCTTTTGCTATTCTAATGTTGGTAGGTAAATCCTATTATGTCCTAAAGGTCATGTCCTGTCCTTCGTATTTGGATGGGGGAATGTAGATTTTTAGGACTCTTTGGTTTTTCTACTTTTTTTAATCTCACCAACTCCAGCCTTCTGTGGGAGCTTGTGGCTGAAGGCGTTCTGTTTATTTTTTTAAATTTGATTAAAAATGAATATGGGCCAATCTATGAATAGATTGGCCCAGTCTTTCTGAATGGATACAAAATCTCCATTCCAAAAGACCAGTCTCTTCTGCTCGAGGCTGTTTTCCTATGGCAGGAAGACTAGGGCTGCTTTAAGAACGTTTCTCCACTTCTCCTTTGGAGAATTATAATATTCTGCCTCTTTAATATCCCCAAAATATTTCATTCTCATGGGAGAGGGGGCTTCACACAATAAAGACTGCCTCTGCGGTGGACTGGGAGTGGTTTGAGGACAGTTTGGTCTAGTGGTTAAGGCACCAGGCTAGAAAGCAAGAGACCGTGAGTTCTAGTTCCACCTTAGAGGTGGAAAATGGCTAGTTGACTTTGGGCCAATCATCAGGAGACTGTGAGTTCGGCATGACAGCCAGATGGTTATCTTTGGGCCAATCACCAGGAAACAGTGAGTTCTAGTCCCGCCTTAGGCAAGACAGCCAGATGGCTATCTTTGGGTCAATCACTAGGAGACTGAGTTCTAGTCCTGTGCTAGGCATAAAAACCGGTTGGGTGAGGCCAGTCACTGCCTCAGCCCAACTCACCTCACAGAGCTGTTATTGTGGAGAAAATAGGAGGAAGAAGGGAGTATTAGATGTGTTCGCCACCTTGAGTTGTTTATAATAATAACTAGCTGGATACCCATGCTTCGCTACAAAACTATGTGATGGGGTTTGATAAATCGATACTTACAGCTTGAAAATTAATGAGTAATTATGATCGGCCTCTCCTCTCCCCTTCTCTCCCTCAGCCTTGCCCCACAGAAGCCTATCCCCTTCTCTCCCTCAGCCTTGCCCCACAGAATCCTCCCCTATCCTATCCCCTGGTTGCTGCTGTGAAAGTAAAACTGAAAGTGAAACTCCTCTCCTCTGCTTGTGTTTTGCATTTGGAACAGATTTCTTTTCAGGTGAGGAGGGGGATTAGAACTCCTTAGCATCAGAGCGTGTTAATAATAATAAAGGAAATATTAATGCTCTGATGGTCATTTCAAAAAATCCTTTCTTAGTGAGCACTTAGAAGCCAAGAGGAACATACGTGGCAAATTTTTCAAATTTGTAAGCTTTACGGTTCTGGAGATTTTGTGATTATGGCATGAGTGGTTTTTGCTTTTGTATATATATATAGATAAAGGCAAAATATAAATTAAATAATAATTGTGCATTTTTCCTCTGGGTAAATGGTAGTTGCCTGCCCTTGCATAGGGCCATCAGATGAGTGAAGTGGAAGGATAAGAATTTCTCTCTCTGGCTCTTCACTGAACTTATGGTTCTCTTTATCTGCAGATCTGCTACAGCCAGGTTGCAAAATCTCTATCCTATCCTGCTTTCAGCGGCCTTTTCTTGCCTTCACTAAAATCCTTTGTGGGAAAATATTAGCGGACATATTTGTGTAACCTTCCAAACCATAGTTTTATAATGGTTTCCCAAACTGTAAGCAGATAACAAATTAAGCCATAGTTTACTTGCGGTTGATCAATTTCAATTTGATCAATGTACAATTTCTTAATCCCAAATAAGCGAAATGGGTGTTTGCTAGGTTGTGTGAATCACTGGCCAACTAACTTTGGCTACACATTGCTGTGACTTTATACAATCCCAGTTCGGCATAATTAGCGCAAAAAATTAGGGTTGAATTCAGTACAGTGCGTCTCATTTAACTACAGGTTAGCATGTTGTATAAATGCATCCCCTGAACTATAAAGGTAATTCATGGAGTTTGCCTAACAGGCTAGTTTGTGTGGGTAAATCAGGGATTTCTGGGAGTTGGTCCAAAGTATCTACAGGCATTCCATTCTGAAGAAGTCAATGGTTTTGCCACCACTTTCTTCCAGGTTGGGAGACCAATCCCCGAAGGATTTGGATGGGAGACCACTAGGATTTCTAGCTGCTATTTATAGTCCAGCCACTAGCTGCTATTTGGATGGGAGACCATTAGAATTTCCTAGTGGTCTCCCATCCAAATAGCTGCTAGCTTTCTCGCAACTGTGTCATAGCGGCCTGCTACCTAGCTGGAGTGACAAACGCTAGTCCTCCCCCCCAAATAATTAAATGTACATAATGTAGTGTTTCTCAGCCCTGGCATCTTTAAATGTGGACTTCAACTCCCAGAATTCCAATAGTGACTAGGGAATTCTGGGAGTTGAAGTCCACATATCAACAGTTGCCAAGGCTGAGAAACCCTGGCAGAATTAATAGGAAACACTTAGTAGTGCTTCCTTTGCTATCAAATTCTGCCAATCTCTGCGCAGCTTCCTTTCCTGAAACAAGACCTCCGCCTTGACAAAGCTCCTCCCCACTTCTCTTAGTCCCACCCCGGGTGCTTTTCTTATCCATTCACAACGCCTCGCCTGCTTCTTTCCCTCCAATCCCATTTCCCCAGAGAAATGGGGCGGGAGGGAAGAGAGGAGGAACGGCAGCTCCGCGCGACCGTTGAAACCTTTCTAGCACCAAACTGCGCCTGCGCACGCGTATCATATACCGACTCCACAGCTTTTCCCCTCCTGTCTCACTTCTTCCTGCGCTTTGGATCTGCGCCTGCGCAAGAAATCTCCGTTTCCCCCCTCCCCCGCTTTCTCTTTCTTGGCCGCCCCTTCCTGGACGCGCGACTTTTGACGTCACGGCGCGCGACGCCGAGCCCTGGAACTGGGGCAAGAAGGCTCCTCAGGAAACGGCTGCGCGTGAATGAAGCGGGAAAGTTTCAACGACCTCGGCAGTCTCGTGTCTACCCCGTCCCTTGTTCTATGGAGGGGGCGGGGGAGCGGGGACGAAACTGAGGCGCTGTAAAAGCAGAGGAGCTCCAGTAAGCCAAATAAGAGGCGGATGGGGTGGAGGGCAGGCTCCCAGTTTTCATTTTGGGTGTCATGGGGGGGAGGAGGTCTCGGGATGAGAGATGAGGCAGCACGTGTGGAGGTGAGATGCTGTCAGACGTGTTCTTCTCCTGCCTCCCTTTATTCCAGAGGTCTTCAAACTTGACAGCTTTAAGACTTGTGGACTTCAACTCCCAGAATTCTCCAGCCAGCTATGCTGGCTGGAGAATTCTGGGAGTTGAAGTCCACAAGTCTTAAAGCTGCCAAGTTTGAAGACCTCTGCTTATATTCCCTCTTTTGAGGAGATTTGAGGCTTCCCAGGTAACCTCGGCCTACATCCAGCTATCTGAACCTCAGCCTTAACAATACCTTGGGAATTTATTATTTATTTATTTATTTATTACATGTATTTATATGCCGCCATTCTCCCGAAGGACTCAGGGCGGCGAGCACAAGTTAAGAAACAAGTACAATAAAATCATAATTTAATCCAAATAATTAATTAGTAGTAAATAATAAAGCCCGGAATCAGTCTCAGCCTATTTGTTTGAAAAGCCAAGTCTTTTTTTTATTATTATTGAAAAGTTTTACAAAAAACAAAAATTTTCTTCTCCCCCATATTCCCCCCACCCTTTCCCTCCCCTCATCCCACCCTCCCCCCCAGACTTCCCAGAGCAAAATACAAGATGTTTCATTTAACAATCATAAACTAGATTGACCTACTTATCCTCAGACTACTAACTCCCCCCCTGAAACCTTAACTCCACTATGGATAACATCATACTTCTAATACTTAACGTTCATTCATAAGCTATTTGATATTTTCTTGTCTGATACTTATTTTGAATATAGTCAATCCATCTTCTCCATGAAAAGCCAAGTGTTCAAGTCCCGACAGAAGGAGCGGAAATCACTCCTTTTCAAAGTTGCTGAGGTTGAGAAACACTGGTCTACACTTCCAGGGGTGTAAAGATGGCTGAAATAATCTCTGTCGGAGGAACTTGGAGCCCTTTTGCCCAGAAATAGTATACGCGTGAATTTATTTATTTATTGGTTCGATTTTATATGCTGCCCTTTTCCGGAGACTCAGTTAAGCAATAGCCTTCATACTTTTGTATATACCTGCTTAGTAGGGCTTTCGCCCCCCCCAAAGCGGTGTTTTTTTTTTATACAAAGTCAACTTATTGCCCCCACAAACCAGGTCCTCATTTTACCTACCTCGAAAGGACGGAAGGCTGAGTCAACCTTGAGCCCAGTGAGATTCGAACTTGCAGTAATTGCAGGCAGTTGGTGTTACTTAACAGTGCTTTAGTCTGCTGCGCTACCAAGGCTCTTGAGAGAAAATGAGAGAAAAGAAAAGGGGGTTGCTTAGCCACACTAAGGCTAAGTGAGGGATAATCCTGCTGCTTTTTTTTTTTTTAATTGAAAAAGTTTTACAATTACATTTTCTCCCCAGTTTCCACCCCCCCAACCCCCCCTAGCCCACCCCTGCTGGTTTTGAACCAACTAAAACTTTTAAACCTGTCCATTTATCTTCATTTTTCAGTCGCAGCTTATGTCGCTGGCCCCCACCCCTCCCCATGTAGGTTAACAATATTGGAGCGAGTCTTTTGCTACTTCTGCAAGACTTAAGGACGCCTGGCATAAAGTTCATACTAAACAGTTGTTGGAGATGGAGGAAAAGGTTTTTTTTTAAAATATGTATTTTACATATAACAGGCCTGTTTTACCTTTCTGTGTAAAGTTCCACAACAATAACAATTTTTTTTGAGAAAGCTGTTCTGAAAGTTTTTCCTAACCAACCACTGAAAATCAAAAATGGAAGCAACTGATCTTTCTAAGAAAGAGCAGCTCATTTTTGTTTCAGATGTGGTGCAATATATGTATGCTCTTTGGCATATCTTAGTTACCACCTTATTCTCTGCCCCTTAATGTTTTCTTTTCCTTCTAGGCAATATGCTACAAATAATAGTCAGAGCTTGTTTGGAAAATCAGTGGAGGCCAGTTTATTCCCAGATGCATAGTTGTTTACTGCAAAAGCAGATTAAAAACTGGCACAGGAGCCTTAGCACAACAAACACACAATGTTCAAAATCGCGGAAAACCTGTAAAGGAAATCTATCTGAGAAGAAGTTGGTAAAGTAAACAAATGTTTGGATTAATTACAAATATGTAATCTGTAATTTTTTCTTAACTATTTTTAAAGTCTCTTATTTCTTCCAGAAAGCACAAATTTATGAAAAAAATAAAAATAATTAAATTAAGATTTAAGCATTTAGATGAGAATCCTGACACATGTTTTCAATATCCCTTGCACACAAATGTTCTCCTCTGTTTAAGGTGTAGAATTGTATAGATAGATTTAAGGCATTCTGTACATACATAATCTACTGAATTTGGGATTTTCCTATGAATGAAAATTGTTATATATGCACTGCTCAAAAAAATAAAGGGAACACAAGCAGAAGACATCCGAGATCTGAATGAATGAAATAGCCTTATTAAATACTTTGTTTGTTACATAGAGGAGTTTTGTGTTCCCTTTAGATGTTTGAGCAGTGTATAAACTACTGTTTGTAAAGAACAAAGTATTTAATAAGGCTATTTCATTCATTCAGATCTCGGATGTCTTCTTGTGTTCCCTTTATTTTTTTGAGCAGTATATCATTTGTTGAATTTGCACCCTATTCTTTTTTCTTTGGAACACAATATACATTGTTCTCTCTTTTAATCTTGCAGCAATATTATGAGATAACAAATAGGGTAATAGTGACTAACCTAAATTCATCCACCATTCATCTGGCATTCACTTAACACCTTTTGATATAGTGTTCTATAATATCCTAGCTTTTGAATTCAAATATAAAAAAGTGAAATATACAAAATCAGCTTTCATTTTAGGTTTTATTAGTGCTGATCTTGTAGGTAGATTGTATCATTGGTTTGTTTCATTTGGAATATCATAGAACTGTGTTGGTCTGTAGTAGCCAAAAACCAGAAGAACTGCAGTAGCCCTTTTCCCAACTAACACATTTTATTAAAAAGCATGCTTTTGTGAGCTGCAGCGTGCTACTAGGCTCTGACCATAAAAGTGGACATCTCTTCTGAGTCCCAAAGTTATATTAATTGTTACTGAAAAAATCCCTCTTTCTCAGGAGAGAGGTCTCTTAGTGAACTTTGGCTCATGTGAGAGATTTCAAATTGTTGATTTTATAAATCCTTTTGGCAACAGCAAGCACACAAAGGAGGCATGTCGTATGAGTCTAAATAATATGGTACTGAATATTGCAGCAATTTTCAGTTTCACCACTTGGTGATGCTATGTAAATTTGAGAAAGGATGTACAAGTAGTCCTCAACTTACGATCACAATTGAGCCCAAAATTTATGTTGCTCAGTAAGACACTAGTTAAGTGAATTTTACCCAATTTTATGACCTTTCTTACCACAGTTGTTAAATGAATCACTGCAGCTGTTAAGTTAATGGCATGGTTGTTAAGTGAATCTGACTTCCCCATTGACTTTGCTTGTTAGAGGGTCGCAAAAGAGGATCACGTGACCCCGGGACACTTATAAATATGAGTCAGTTGCCAAGCATCTTAATTTTGATCACGTGACCATGGGGATGCTGCAATGGTCATAAGTGTGAAAAACGGTTGTAACTTTTTTCAGGACTGTTGTAACTTTGAACGGTCATTAAATGAACTGTTGCAAGTCGAGGACTACCTGTATTTAAGGTAGGAACACAGTTCAACATATAGCTGGCCATCTGTATTTTGTTCATGGAAGAAGCCAGCATTCTTTTAAAAACCTAAAATATTTTTTTTCTTTTTTGCTAATTGTCATGTAACTAATATTCATCTCTTCTTTTTTTTTTTTTTTTTTTTTGAAAAGGAATAAAGAATATCAGAAATGATTCTTGTATTGTAGCAAGGTAGAAGAGCTGAAAACGAAACAGGAACAAACTGATATTTTTTTCAGTGAAGTTGTTTGGGGACTGCTAAATGTTTTCCTTGTAAGAAAGATAATATATTGGGCATTTTTATTATGCTATGGTCAGGGTTAGTTTTAAGCAGTTCTCATCTGGGGATGTCAGGAATTAATGCCAAAATTTCAACTTCACTAAATTTCGTCTCAACATTTGATGGAAAATGTGTGTCTATGTGCACACGAGTAATCCTTGCTTGAGATCACCATGTCTTCTTTTAGAAAATGTGTGTTCCTTTAAAAGACATGTCAGGGCTTGGATTTGTACACAGCCCAATCACTGCTTTTTAAAAGTAGGGCTGTGCATATCCTTTGTGAGGGATGTTGCTAGGGACATGGTGTTGGGAAAAAAAGCAAGCTGTACTCATGAATTCAGAAAAATGGAAGGTGGTAGCAGCTTGTATTCTTAAATGAATAATTGATAGAATTCAGGAAAAAGACCAAACTATTTCTGGATTGCAGGCCACCCACCATAGTAGGTTCCTCCCCCAACTTTAAATATTTTTACCAATCGCATTATTCATCAGATCAGTACAAGCCCTACATGTTTCCTCGAGAATTGAACATAAATGAGTATGTTTACAACTGAAGGCTTTTGAAACTTTTAAACTTCACAAATGATTAGCATCTCTGAATAATGTCTCTCCCCTTTCCAGAGTCGATATTTCATCGATCATCGAAAGGTTCGTGTGATAGGAGGGAAAGGAGGAGATGGTATCGCTTGTTTTCTCAGTGAACCTAGAAAAGAATTTGGAGGTCCCAATGGGGGAGATGGGGGAGATGGGGGACATGTTATATTTAAAGGTAAGAAGGTTACTATCTCTAGTACAGAGCTTTTCAGTGTTGTACCTTATGATTCTTGACGAATGTATCTTTTCTTTTATGTACACTGAGAGCATATGCACCAAGACAAATTCCTTGTGTGTCCAATCACACTTGGCCAATAAAGAATTCCATTCTATTCTATTCTATTCTATTCTATTCTATTCTATTCTATTCTATTCTATTCTATTCTGTTACCTGTTACCTGTTACCTGTTACCTGTTACCTGTTACCTATTCTATTCTGTTGCCTACAAGCCCACTACATATTTATAAATATGTAAATAAATGAGGTAAAATAAAAGAACACATCAAAGTATGTCTTAACATACGTACTTTGGTTTAATTCCCACATAAATGGGAATGTTGAGAATTTAACTGCTAAAACAATGGGAATTTTCATGAATTATACTGTGGTTGAAATTAATGAAAATTGCTAGTGAATACAATAAAAATATGAATTGCAGTTTGTCTGCCTAAGTACAGTAATTTAATATTTTGAAGTTGGTGATCATAAAGTTATCTTTGCAAAAGTTTATATGAGCACTTTCGTCATTTAGGGAAAAGAACAGCAGGTATATCAGAAGGTAAGGAACAGATGGTATAATCAGCATTTGGTATAAAATAAAAATAAAAGATTTGGCATTTGTGATGCGCTCCTATCCAGGAAACAGTTTGTTGATTCATAATTAATCAACACAGGTTTTTTTCTTTTAAAAAAAGAATTCATCGTTACGTGTTGAATTGAAATGTTTTATTTTTTACAGTGGACCGGCAAATCAAATCCTTGGCCTACGTCCACCCATTTTATAGAGGCTTCAGTGGGGAAAGGGGAGGAAGCAAAAACTGTTATGGAGCAGCTGGCAGGCCCCTTTATATTAAGGTAAGTTGTTGAGACTTGTTGTTAGTCAAAATTTTGAGTTTGTAAAAGCTGAATGGCTAATGTCCTTTGGAAGACTGCTGAGCAGCTGTTTGCTCACAGATGGGAGCAAACAGCCATGGATGGTAAATTCTTCGCTCTATTTTACTTAAATTTATCTTTGTTTTGTAGGTACCTATTGGTACCATGATTAAGGAAGGCACTAAGATTGTAGCTGATCTCAACCTTCCCGGGGAAGAATACGTTGCAGTCTATGGTGGAGCTGGGGGCAAAGGCAACCGTTTCTTTCTGGCTAATGACAACCGAGCACCAACAACTGCGACTCCTGGAGAACTGGGTGAGGAAAGGTCCCTTCACTTGGAGCTCAAAACTGTGGGCCATGCAGGGATGGTAAGTGTGCTTGTTTGTTTTTCAGTATGAGAGTTAACTCTGAAGAAACAAATCTTTATGTTAAACCAGGAATGTTGGAACATGGGAGATATGTATGCAGGTTTAAAAAATGTACTCCTTGCAGAGGTGGGCTGCTGCCAGTTCGCACTGGTTCAGGTGAACCGGTAGTTAAGATTCTGCGCAGTTTGGTGAACCGGCAAATCCCACCACTGACTGGCCCCACCCCTGCTCGTTTTTCGGCCTGTTTTCTGGGCCGTTTTTCGGGCCAAAAACGGGCGGGGCCAGCCAGTGGCGGGATTAGCCCCAACCAGCTGAATCCTATCTCTGCTTTTGAGGCGAGTGGCCAGGAGGCGGGGCTGGGTGTGATGAGTGACGTGACCCACCCAATTAGTAGACCCACACCTACTCTGAGTAGACCCACATCTACTCAGCTAGAGAACCGGTTGTTAAGTTATTCAAGTCCCACCACTGACTCTTTGGAATCATTAGGTGCCTCCTTCCCCAAATTGAAAAACCAAGTTAGGGACAGATGGGGAAAATTTATGTGATCACTAAGAATTGACAAGAACCTGATGACACATAATTCATAACATCTGCTTGTTGAGTATTACTTTGAAATTCTTGGCTTAGAGACAATTGACGATCAGACTAATAACAGCCAGGTAACTTGGGAGTGAGAAGGCAGGTGGCATTGCCTTCTTTTGCCATTAGAGGTAGTCCTCGACTAATAACCACAACTGAGACTAAAATTTATATTGCTAAGCAAGGCAGATTAAATGCGTTGAGCCCCGTTTTATGACATTTTTGTCACAATCGTTAATCACAAGAGTTGTTAAGTAAATTGTGTGGTTGTTAAGTGAATCTGGCTTTCCCCATTTGACTTTGAGGAAGCTGACTGGGAAAGTTGCAAATGATACCACATGACCCCAGGACACTGCAACCTTCCTCAACACATGCCAGTTGCCAAGCACCCAAATTTTGATCACGTCACTGTGGGGATGTGGAAAAAATGGTCATGTCACTTTTTCCAGTGCTGTTGTCATTTTGAACGCTTACTAAGTGAATGGTTGCAAGTCAAGGACTACCTGTATTACGTTTTTCAGCCTGTAAAACAAATGGCTGAAGGGATGAAGCGTCTACATTTTTATTTATTTAAATGTTATTTGGCTGAATTTAATCTAGTCCACCTAGGTCAGGGGTGTCAAACTTGCATCATCACGTTGCCACGTGACGTATCACAACTTTTCCCCTTCACTAAACCGGGGGTGGCTGTGGCCAGCGTATGACACATCTGGCCCGTGGGCCGCGAGTTTGATATCCCTGACCTAGGTTAACTAGATCATTAAATCAAATCTACCATATTTTTTGGACTATAAGACGCACCAGAGTATAAGACGCACCAATATTTTGGTGGAAACAAGAAAACAAGAAAAAAAATAGTTTTTGCCCTCCCCGGCCCCCAGGAGCACTCTGCAGGCCTCCCAAACCCTCTGTGCATCCTGTTTTTGCGACAAATGGGCCCGGGGAAGGCAAAAATGTGACGCGTGGGGGGTTTGGGAGGCCAAAACTGGTGTTTTTCGCAAAAACGGGATGCACCCTCTTTTGTGGGGGGGGAGTGTGTCTTATACTCCAAAAAGTACAGTAGTTAAAACAAGAAAATAATATGAAAGTTGCTAAATTTGTGTTCTATCTTGCCAGTAGAATTAAATGTAATGTGGAAGGCAAAAGTTACAGTATCTCCCTTTCAAACTGGGTTGTTAATTCCAGATTGGATTCCCCAATGCTGGGAAATCGTCCCTCTTGCGAGCAATCTCCAGAGCAAAACCTGCTGTGGCTCCTTACCCATTCACAACCCTGAATCCTCACGTAGGCATTGTTCACTATGAAGATTACGAGCAGATTGCAGGTACGCCTTTATGTTTCCTTCTATTTTTTTTTTTTAAATGACCTTCATGGTATTATTTCCTTCTGAGTAAAAAAAATAAAGCATTTTGTGACAGAGATATCTCTTTGTAAGAGCTAAAGTTTGTGCTAAGTGTGGGTGGGTAAGAAAGCTTAACTGCAGATCACCCTTTTTCATGACCCAAGATTGGAAAAGAATAAAAAGAAATGTAAAAGAATGAATGCCCGTAATGAAGTGCCCGTAAAAAAAAAAGAAAGAAAGTCCCAGATGAAGGTGAATATACGTGTCCAAGGATCCAAGGATTGCAGGATCCAATCTGGGTCAGCCATTCGGACCAGAGGTTGAGTCTTTCAAGCCTTAGAACTTGTGCTGGAGTCCATCCTCAGGGAACTTCTCTCTAGCAGAGTGTGTGCTTTGGGCTGTTCTGTGTGTGGTATTTATATGGTGCCTGTTGTAAGTGGTTTTTTGGATGTTGATTGGGATTTTGATAGCTGGTTATTAAGTCTTTGGCTGTTGTTTGCTTGTGCTGCCACCAGTTTATAAAGTACTTAAGAGGCGAGGGCTTGGCAGCACCTCTGGTCCCCATGACCGACCCAGATTGGATCTTGAAAAAATTGAAAGTGTTTTGAGTGTCTCTCATTGTATGTTAGCTGCAAACTAATCAAGGGGTCCTGAGCATGAGGGTATCCAACTGCCCACAGTCCTCTAGGATTTCAAACAGTGTTCCATGGAATCCTAGAGTTCTGGAGAACTTTGATGGGCTTCTCTGGCTGAAAAAAAATCATGCCAACACAGGCAACTTTCTATCATTACCTCTTGAACAAGAATTCTGGGAATTTTTGCCTCTTGAACAAGGATTCTGGGAATTTTTTGATTTTTCTTTTTAATAATTTCCATGGCCTGTAAAACTGTTCCAGCTATCTAGATGCTGATTTTTTTCCCCCAGGTGGTTTCCCTCTTTGTATCATTCTCCCAACAACCAGAATTTTATTGATCTGTTGTTGTCTTATTTTGCAGTTGTAGATATCCCTGGAATAATAAAAGGAGCCCATGAAGATCGGGGACTTGGTTTGGCCTTTCTGAGACATATAGAACGCTGCTGCTTTCTCCTCTTTGTGTTGGATCTCTCTGTGGCTGAGCCCTGGGCTCATTTGGAAGCCTTGAAGTATGAACTGGAACAGTATAGAGTTGGCTTGTCAAAGATGCCTCATGCCATTGTTGCAAATAAGTTTGACCTTCCGGAATCCAAAAACAACTTGCCTTTACTTAAGGAGCAACTGAAGCAGAGAGTCATCCCACTCTCTGCTCTGACAGGAGAAAATCTGGAGGAATTGTTGGTGCATCTGAGAGAACTCTATGATGATTATTTGAAATCAGAAAAAGAACAGGTTCGCAAGCCAATGAAATGGTAGTAACAGAACTCTTCCATTATCACATTGAGATAGGAAGGACATTTGGAGTTCGGGCATGGACAGGAGGAGGATAGTCTCTACAAGCAGAATGAAATTGCTTTTTATTCGTTAATGTTATAAGGAGATACACAGAGCCCTACCAGCAGAGTGCTGCAGAAGCAGATAAGAAAGAATGGTCAGTCTGCCCAAACAATAAACGAAACAAAAGATGAGTCCACCAGAAAGTGAAATGTTCTTAAGCCTATTGAGACCTACAGGGCATAATTTAATTAAAGGACTATTCAATAATTTAATAAAGGTATGTTCATTTATTATGGCATTTCTGTACTATCAACTCCACTTGAACTCCGGACAGTTTAGAAATTCTTATAAACACCAAATAAGAGTACAGAGGAGTTCCGCTAGAATTGCACTCAACTCACAATGATCCTTCCCAAACAACAATGTAAATCAGGGTTGGGCAGTTAATTTTCCTAAGGGGCTACACACATTATTGGGACTGTTGTTATCTTCCAACGGGAGGAAAGGACTCAGAGTATCCCATGTCTGGATGTCTGCATTGGATGAATCACTTCTCTTTGGGTCAGGCTCTCCTGAACCTATCTGGGTGCCAATTTGGTATAGGTGACAACCAACACAATATACATACACACTTGAAACTCAAAAATACACTAAGGCAGAAGCTTGTCCTCCCCAGGATAAGACACCCAGACACAAACTGAGCAATGCGATATATACAGTACAATGCAGTGAGATGTGTACAGATCTGTACATTGGAGAAATAAAACAACCACTTCACAAATGCATGGCACATAGGAGAACAAACACATCAGGACAAGATTCAGCAGTCCATCTGCATTTGAAAGATAAAGGTCACTTTTGAAGACAGCAGAGTCCACATTCTGGACAGAGAGGATCACTGGTTTGAAAGGTCAAAAGGGGCAATTAAATTAAGAACAGCCCTCTCTCAACAGAGGGGGAAGGATATGACCCCACTTATCTCCTTTTTACAACAGCCCCTTCAGCAGTTCCAAGAAGGCTCCACATCCATTTGCGTTATTCAGGTGACTGAGAGTGGCCTCCATGATCCTCAGAAAGAGTGCTAATGATCACATGACTGCAAGGAATGTAAATTCTTCCATCCTCTACCATTCGGTCAGAACCAAAGAAGCTTCTTTGACAAGAAGCAAAACGTCTTCAAGTAAAAACAAAGTCCAGTTTCCTTTTAGAAAAAAACACCTTTGGGACTTGTAGGGTTTGTAAGTGATGATCAAGAGTATGGTGGCTCACGTGGTTAGGATACTGCATGACAAGCCGGCGTTCAAGACCCAAACTGCTGCTGTGTAACAGGGTGAGCGCCCATCATTCACTCCAGCTCCTGCCAACCTAGCAATCTGAAAGCAAGTAATCGCGAGTGGATAAATAGGTACCACTTTTGTGGGCATATTAACGGATATAAAGGGAGTCCCCAGGCAATGGTGATGTTACCGGCTAATCCTTTCAAACCGGAAGTGCCTAAGGGTTTCAGAAAACGAGCAAATTATGACCAGCACTTTGAACTATATTCAGAAGCCTCTTGGCAAACAATGTAGCACCTGCAACACTGTTCCATTCTATAGTTCCAGTGGTTCTTACCTGCCAATAGGTTGCTATCTGCATTATGCACCAATTGCATTTTTCATGTGTGCTGTGCTGCATGGATTCAATAGCAATAGCACTTAGACTTATATACAGCTTCACAGTGCTTTACAGCCCTCTCTAAGTGGTTTACAAAATCAGCACATTGCCCCCAACAATCTGGGTCCTCATTTTACCCACCTCGGAAGGATGGAAGGCTGAGTCAACCTTGAGCCGGTCAGGATCAAACTGCTGGCAGTCGGCAATGAGTTAGCCTAGTGCAGGTGAAGCTACTGGTGATACGGACATAGGTACCAATGCTAAAGTTTTCTACTACAGGTAGGTCCAACAACCGGCACTGGGTATTGGGGAAGGTTCCTCCAGTCTTGGCTTCCATCTGCCTATATCTAGCAGTAGCTGTAAATGTAGACAGACATGAAAATCATGGATTGGTTCCTTACAGCGCATCCTGTTTTGTCTAAAGTAATTACTAAGGCAAGTAGAGAGAGACATGGTTTCTAGACAAACTACATCCATCCAATGATAACATTTAAGAGGCTATCCTCTCATGCAGGAAGGCATCTGGTCACAAAAAGGACACCCAGATAGCCCAACCTAATAGGCACTCACGCTGCCCTTGATTGGCATCAAAATTTCTCTTGAAATTTTGCCACTCTTCTCAACGGCTATGGAGCATATCTACAAAAAGATATTCACCCAGCGAAAAGCAAAGGCAAGTCACTTCCTTGGTCAATAGTTTGGGGGGGGGGGGGACAGAATTGGAAGGCGTGACCGACTGCATTTTAGTATTTACCTTTTGAAAAACAAAAAAAAGCCTTCATACTGTCAGTTAAATTGCTTAGTTGTCTTTTAGAAGACGACAAAATGCTGTGCAGTATTGAAAGAATAAAAGGTGCTTTTTGCTATTCACCGGAGTGTTTTTTTATTTTGTAAGGAACATGTTTTTGTTGATTCTGCTTCCTTCCTTCCTTGGTGGAAAATGTCAGGGCGGAAAGTTTGATTAATCATTGTTAATTAAAATAGCAGGTGGAGAAAGATGGCTGGCTCCCATACAATAATTCAATACCAATACTTACTAGTTTTTCTTGCACCTGCTGTGAGCAACACTGACAAACCTCCTATTACATTATCTATAAATTACTATTATTTCAATAGGACAACAGACTTATTTCTAAGGTTGTTTCACACATCAAGGTAGAATAGAGTGTAAGTAGTCAACATATAGCATGTGCGTTACAGTTGTAAGTCATGACAGTTATTAAAGCAGGTCTTTGACATGCCCAACTCAATTTTAGAACTGTGTGTGTGTGTTTGTGTGAGTTGTTCAGTGAACACAGTGGTCCTAAAGCAACCACTGCAGTAGTTAAGGGAACCAATAGTTCACTATGGACTGGTTTTGCGGAAAACCAGAAGTAAATGCTGGTTTTTGTCAAAAATGTTATAAAATGTCATGTGACCGTGGGACGCTGCAAACAGCTATAAATATGGGCCAGTTGCCAAGCACTCAAAACTTAGTCATGTGATTGTGGGTGGATTGCTGTTAGAACTTCAGAACCTTGTAAGTACTTCTGGGGAGATCATAACTATGAATGGTCATAAGGCAAGCATTATCTGTAAGAAACTGGGTATGGCTAGTCTAGGGAAAAGAAGGACTAGGGGTGACATGATAGCAGTATTCCAATATCTCAGGGGCTGCCACAAAGAAGAGGCAGTCAAGCTATTCTCCAAAGCACCTGAAGGCAGGACAAGAAGCAATGGGTGGAAACTCATCAAGGAGAGAAGCAACTTAGAACTAAGGAGGAATTTTCTGCCAGTTAGAACAATTAATCAGTGGGACAACTTGCCTCCAGAAGTTATGGATGCTCCAACACTGGAAATTTTTAAGAAGATGTTGGATAACCATTTGTCTGAAATGGTATAGGGCAGGCATGTCAAACTCAATTTCATTGAGGGCCACATCGGGGATGTGTTTGACCTCAGAAGGCTGGGGGTGGAGGTGGTGGCTAGAGTTGGGCATGGTCATGGTGGGTGTGGTCATGGTGGGCGTAACCAGGTGGGTGTTTGACACAGGCTCAAGATGCATTTTTTCCCCTTCTTTTTTTCTACAGTTCTTTACTATAACCATTTTCCTATCTCCTACCAGATATTACCGGCAAACATTACTTATTTTTCATATTCCACTAAACTTCTATTTCTAAATTTATACTCCATTTTTTTAATAGTAAATTGATTTTCCAGGCAGAAAAGCTATTTATACTATTGTATTTTTTTATTATTCAACTAATAATAAAAATACAATAGCATAAATAACATGATAATACAAGATCTAACAGCAGAGGTAAATTTCCAGGATAGTGGATAGAAATGGCTGTCAATTAACAGATACAGAATAGAATACAGAGTACAGAATAAACCTGGCATTAAACTGTAGTATTAACATAGGATGTTGCTTGTTTTCTATCCAGATCAGGCACTTACTTGAGGCCACATAATTGTAATCCAGTCCAAGCCAGTCCTCCTGCAGTACTCTGCCGGGCAAAAATGGGGTGTGGGGTGGGTGGGCTGTGTCCTCTTCTATCCCCCCCCCTGCAGCCCATTTTGGCTGGCAGAGGCACTATGGGCCGGTCCTTTGATATTTCCAGGTCAGCCAGATCTAAGCATCCCACAGGCCTGAGTTTCACACTCCTGGTATAAGGTCTACTTGAGCAGGAGAGGCAAGCCTCTCAGCAGTGAAGGTTAATTGCCCTCAACAGTGAAGGTTAATTGCCCTCACTGTTAGGAAGTTTCTCCTTACAAGAAGTGGTAAAGAAAAACAGAATTGTAGAATGATTAAATCACTACACAAAAATAATATTCTTTTTGTCTAATCATTGCATATATCTAATGTTTCGTGTATATCATTTTTAGCCTATTTTTTTTTTCCTGGTGAGATTTTATTCTCTATTCAGAGTTGACTATATCTAACGTTTCACAAATCTACCTCTGTACACACGGAGCAAAACATGAAGGGAAGGCGTCTTTTTCAGAAAAATAGACTTTGCAATTCTGCTTACATTCTGAAAGCAGATGTGGAGCCAAGAGGTCAAAACCACCCCAGAATTAAATAGATGACTGACATTTAAGTTTTAGGATCATTATTTATAATGTCCCCAAACTCTGTGCAGCTTAAAAATCTCATTACCACATTTTGTGCCACTTGTAATTTCTGGGCAGTCATCAATGGCAGGTACAGGTGTTGCCTTTTAGAGGTGGAGAAGACAGACCGTGCAGCCAAGGTCTTGATGTCCTCCAGGAAATTCTTGCTTAATTTTCTTACTGCCTCTTAACCCCCAATCATGGAAGAACTTACAGGAGAGAATTCTGGAATGCCAAAGCATTTTCATCTTTCTTCAAATCACACCTTCTAAAACCTGCTCACGATTTCTTCACTCCCAGGTCCCAGTTTCACAAAATCAGTAACTAGATTTCAAAACAAGGAGATCTATATATTTGTCCAATTCCTATTTTCTTCCTTATTTTTCTGTGCCAGGTCTTAAATTATAAACTGCATGGGCTAAGACTTATTATCCCCTGATAGCAATTTGCATTTGGCAAATGTCCAAGTACAATATACTATATACACATTGATCCACCATGTAGCACAAAAGGGTTTTAAAAAACGCCTTGCAGAGACAAG